TTTTTTTTTTTTTTTTTTTTTTTTTTGGTTCGCGTTCGGCCCGAACGGCCGAACGCATCCGCAATGGGTCCCATACGTTCGGGCGTTCGGGTTTTGGCGTTCGGCCCGTCCCGAACGCCGGTTACCCTGGTATAGGTTATATTCCCAATTGGGACTACATAGTGAAAAATAGTGGTTGTCTTCTTTTTTTCAAAAAAAGAAGGAGGCTTGAAATTCCTCGACAAACGACGCAGAAATTATTGGGACCATTACCCTGCTTATGTGCAAGGGGTTCGGATATAGTCCAGTAGTGGCCAAAACGGGGCTGCTGCACTGACATTCCGCAAACTTGGGAAAAAAGGTATCCAACAAGACCCAAAAGCCACACAAACCAAAAGGAAGTTGCCAGCAAAAAAAATCCTCACGCACTACAAAGCCACACAAACCAAATTCCACCCATTCCATTCAAACCAACCCAAATGACAAAAAAAGAAACAAAGAGAAATCTAGCTAGATCAACATCACTACAACCTAATCCTACCTCAGTCGGTGGGAGGTTCGAAACTAGGAGCTGAAATTCTGTTCGCAGCCTGTAGGGTTGCATTTATACTCTCGAGGCATTTCCCCCGTTTCTTTAGACCGGTAATTCCCTTTGGCCAAAATTGGTCGTTGGAAGGGTGTTAAAATTGCAGGCATGGGCTTCTAAGGGGGTGGGAAGTCCTTACATGCGCAAGACCGGTATTGGCCATGGTCCTCGAAAATAACAAAATGGCGCACTTTTCTCGCATAGGAGGGCACTTGGAATACAACGCATATACGTTGTTGTATTCGAATACAAAACGTATGTTTTCTATTTGAATTCAAAAACTAGAAGCTCCTGTATTGGAATAGAACATCACCTTTCTTTCCCCCCCTCCTCCCCCCAAGGTTAGCGCCTGCCCGTGTGCCCTTGTGCTCCCAGTCAATGACACACTGCGTGCTGCAGCGCTGTCTCTCTCTCTCTCACACACACGCCCCCCCCACCCCCTCCCCACACACACCCACGCCCACACACACACACACACTTTT